GGCTCCAAGAACAATTTCTATCTGAAAACCACAATAACAAACTTGTTGACTTTTAAAAAATATATATATTTAAATGTGACATATGTTTTGACATCTAACTTTTTAAGCTTTATATTAGGAAAAATGTCATCAGTCATCCTGTGTGATGACAGCCAGCAGGCTAGTGAATGTCTTTTCAGACTCACAAGATCTGGCTTGCTGTGGCATCGGGCTGTCATTAAGAAGGAGAGTATTTTTGTAATCCCAGCACTTTGGGAGACCGAGGCGGGCGGATCATGAGGTCAGGAGATCGAGACCATCCTGGCTAACACGGTGAAACCCCGTCTCTACTAAAAAATACAAAAAATTAGCTGGGCACAGTGGCAGGCGCCTGTAGTCCCAGCTACTCAGGAGGCTAAGGCAGAAGAATGGCGTGAACCCGGGAGTTGGGGCTTGCAGTGAGTCGAGAATGCGCCACTGCCCTCCAGCCTGGGCGACAGAGCAAGACTCCGTCTCAAAAAAAAAAAAAAGATGATACTGAAGTGCAATTCATAATCCAAGTGTGTAATTAAATTTTCCTTTCCTCTAGTTTATGCAGGTTTTGCAGTAAGGAAAGGAAATACTCTGAAAAGGAGGGAACTTGTTTGGAATTCCTTTGCCAGCAGAATGAACAAGGTCATAATCCTATAGTGCAAAATATTCATAGCACTATCTGCAAAGTTATTTAATTACGAGTCTAAGTGCACTGGTGGGCACTTGGTTTTTAGGCAGGTTAGAAGTGTTTCATTCAGTACTGCATGTTAAAGTTAGGGTTACTTTAACAATATTTAGCACTCTATGTGTTAACATTTTCTATTTCGGAATGTATGTCCTCTTCATATATAGTGACTAGGATGTTATGATTAAAGATATCCTTATCTTTTTCAAAGTGAAATTGAATAGATTAATATGTAAATCACTGTTGAGCATCCTTTTGGGTTCCTGTCATGAGTCAAAGTATCTCTCCCACTCTAGTCCAAGTGCAGGCAAAGTAATCAGAGAAATAAACACCTTCTCAAGGAACAGGCCTCACAGACTAAAACCTACACAATGGCAGAATCGCACTGTGGTGTTAAATGGCATTCCTGTTAAGTTGGGTACAAATACTTACAGATGTGGAATAAGTGATTTCTAGGTGTTAAGGTAGGGTAGGTGTGAGGTGTAGATTGGCCACCTGCTGATATTTACCAGGTCTTTGTGCTTTGTTTGCTTTGGCAGTATTACTTATTTTTGGCCTCATGCATTCCTTCATTTGTTTGTTCATGTTATTCAGTACGGAATATGTAATCAGCACAGTGTACAAAACAGCAGTCAAGGAACCTTCGAGTCATCAGATAATCCCACTGTATTTTGTTTCATTGTGAGCCCAATTTTAGTCATGGCTGAGTTATTCTGAGATCTGGTCTATCTTAACTCCATTTGAGGAATATTATGTTGCCTTTTCTTTGTTATACTGCCTGTTAGTGTGGCTGTTTATTATAACACCAGTGACTCACTGCTTTCTTAAAGTGATTTCACTAGTAGATAGTCATCCCTGTGAACAGACTGTTACTCAAGATTATTAAAATCCTTTGTAATATTATGTGCTTCTTGACTGTAAGATTGTTATCAACTGAAATACTTTTGTTCTGAAGTTTGGAGCACCATTGGAGGCATGTGGTTCTTTTATAAGAAAGGAAAAATAAAAGAAATAACTGCAAAATAGTCCAGGAGCCCTGGCCCTAAAGAATGTCCCAAAGGCGGCAGCGTGGTGCCAGTTGGAAAGGTAACAAAGCAGCGTGTCACCCTGATCTGGAACGGGTCACTTAAAGTGTTTCTCACATGACTTCATGGAAAATTAGTGATTCAGAATATTATCTGCTTGGCTTTAAAGTTCAAAGTCATGATAGAGTGCCAATATAAATTAAAAGGAATTATTAGGCAGAAAGAGCCAAGCACCACTATAGACACACTGGCATGCAGACCGACATGAAGCAGGAAATGGTAACTAGAACAATTGCATTACTTCCTGTTGTAAGAAAGGAAAAAGAACTTTAGCTAGAAAGGGATGGTGGAAAACCAGTGTTGTAAGTGAAGTAGTCCAGGGGATCCCATCAGAAATGTTTTTAAAATCTGTAAATTTGGTGAGGGGAGAAATCTGTTCATTTCTTTGTTTACAGGAAGTTTATATAGGGAATGTCTTCCAAAAAAGTAGCAGAGTTAAGAAGTCAAGGTCATTCATAATTATCTCAGACTCAAAGGGACAAGTTCCAAAGTTTAAACTGTAAAAAGAGGTGAAAGTGGTAACCGTAACCTCATCCTTTTTGAAAAACTCTGTGAGTTTCTGGCAAAAGTTTCCTGAGGGAAAATGAATAAATGTAGTCTCTAAAATAGATCATCTAAAATTATTGTAAAATGGATCATCTAGCTAAAAAATATTGGAATAGGGGGCTGGGCACGGTGGCTCACGCCTGTAACCCAGGCACTTTGGGAGACCAAGGCTGGTGGATCACTTGAGGCCAGGAGTTCAAGACCAGCCTGGCCAACATGGCGAAACCACGTCTCTACTAAAAATACAAACAATTAGCCAGGCGTGGTGGTATGTGCCTATAGTCCCAGCTACTCAGGAGGCTGAGGCAGGAGAATCACTTGAACCCAGGAAGTAGAGGTTGCAGTGAGCCCAGATCGTGCCATTGCACTCCAGCCTGGGCAACAGAGTAAGACTCCGTCTCAAAAAAAAAAAAAAAAAATCATTGGAATAAATTAGGAATCGTTAGAAGCTTTAGGAGCTCTTGGAATAAAAACTATTTTGTACTGTGGGTCTGTTGATAATCCTGACACTGGAGACTCCAAATGTAAAATGTTTAAGTTGGAGAATATTTGTTTTGCTGTGTTCTGTGTGTTATTATTGTTTTAAATAATAGGCCTGTGAGCAACATATACTAGTCCTCTGTGACAGCAAATGCTGTTCTGAAATACAAATATCATACAGATAACATTGCCCTTTTTACCTAGTTTAAAATCTGTGTGAACAACTTGAATATAAACAAGTATTAGTACCGTGTTGTTTGGAAGTGCTTTACCAAATAGCTGAGTGGAGAATTACCTGAAATCAAAGAGCTATGAAAGGATTAAAATGATAAGAAAGAGGTCAGATTTGAATCATCATGTATTTCAGCAGCTAACATGAAATCAAGTTGGAGTAAAACTTATTATTACATCTGTTTGCTTTAACTATCAGCAAAGAAATTTGTTGAAGTTGATTTTGAATTTTATTCATTCATTCATTCATTTTTCGTAAGAAAGCTCCCATTTCTTGTTAGATTTGCAGGTGTGTAGTATTACTGGTTGAGCTTTTAATAAATCGTACATTTTCTTTTGAAGTCCTTGGTGAAGTTTACATATAGTAAAGATTTAGAAAGAGAACAAAATGCTCTTTTACAAAATATTTTTCAAAATATTTTTGAAATATAGACTGATGCTCAGTTTAGTCCACAAATGATTAAGTGCTGCCTATGAAAACACACCTGACAGGGAGATGCTCCTTTCAGTTTGAATCTACCAGTTAGCCTCATGTAATTCTTTACATGTGAAACCATGAATTTTCTTAATAAACATTAAACTTTTACATTAAAAAAGACATTCTTGGCCAGTTTTCTTGACTGATATGTTCTTTATCTCTGTGCCATGGACTGACTGTTATAGATGAGACAGTTATAGTAACATCTTTCTAAGTAGACACAACCTACACACCTTAAACAGATGAATATGTTTTTATGATGTGCTAGAGCAGCTTGTGTGTGGGATTTCAGTAAGTATCACTAAAACCCAGAACTTACATTTTTATGAAACAGAAGCAGTGAAGATTCTCCCTGCTAACAACTTAAGTAAACTGAGCCAACAAATATGATTCCAAATGAACATTTAATGAGAAAATACTGCCTGCTTTTTAATTGTATTGTTAATATCCTTTTGTATGCTGTAATAATGATTGCATGTAGAGTGATTTGTCCTTCACCTTTGCTGATCTGGTAACTTAGCAGAATGCTTGCCTGGAGAACAAGTATGTGCTAAATTCTGAAAAGCAAAGGACATCCATCTCACTAAAAATGTCTCCCAACAAGCAGGCAGCTGGTGGGTTTGTACCGCTTGCGGGGTGACTGAGTTCTTTCTTTCTGCAAACACTCCTGTCAGTGTTATAGAGACTTGCACTATCTGTTTAGTAAATGTGACTTAGGAGAAGCAACTACACTACCCAGTCATGGGGCATGGCTGCAAGTTACTGCCCTGCTGGTTTTCTCTTTACCTGATAACTCTCAATAATTCCAACATTTATCTTAGAGAAAAGTCTTTGAGTCACCTACTTCGGAATTTGAGCCCAGTGAAATGATAAGCACCTGCAGTTTGTATCACATCTCCCTCTAACCAAATCTCTGAGCATTCTTGTAGCTTGATAGCAAATTGGGTGAACTGCTACATTCACTAAAAGACTGGGTTCAGCTTTATTGCAAACAGAATTACGAAAGTCTGTTCTCATGCATTTACTCAGCCTCCTTCATCTGAGTCACATGCCACTAGCAATAGCCCCCCCTTATATTAAGCAATATTCACTTGAAATGGATCATTTCGGTTTTTTAGGTTTACTAAAAAATAGTAGAGAAAGAACTGTATCTTAATCTATCTTCCTTTCCAATGAAGTAAAAAACAAATTCTTTGACCTCCAAATCCTCAGTTAATGTAAATTTTGCATTTGTTGAAAACTTGATATTTCCCAGGAAGCACATCTGGTTTTGAACTGAACATAGCATTGAACATGAAGAACTTTTACAAGTCAGTGTTCATTGGGCTGAAACTTTTACTCCTATCTGAATCTGTTGGCTTTTGAGAACTCTTGGGGGATTGATGTTGTTGTTTTTCAACTTCTATCTCCTACTTAAGTGGTATTAATAGTTGTGCTTATGTAACATCTGTGTTGTGTGTGTATGTTTTTAATCTCTACTTAGGTTGACCTGACAGTTCAAGAAAAGGAGAAATACCTTAATGTGTCTCGCTGGTTTTGTCACATTCAGCATTATCCAGGCATCAGGCAACATCTGTCTAGTGTTGTCTTCATCAAGAACAGACTCTATACTAATTCCCACTAGAAGCTGTCCATGCCATACAGAAGATGTATTAAAAATGCTTTAAATGGAAAATGTACTCTGGGCCACAGGACTAATGTAAATTAATATACAGTCAGTCATTATTTGTTGAAGTTGATAGAATTTTTGAAGTGTAAACTTGTGTCTGAATGTTTTATTTGTTCTTTAGTTGAAGTTTTGCAATTTTTATGTCAAAATTCAATTGCTCTTAAACAAGTTGAGATCAAGTTATCAATTAACCTTGTTTTTAATAGATGACATTTATTTCAATAAAAGTTGCAAATCAGGGGCTTAATCTTAAAAAAAATTGGTGGTCCTTTCAATGGTTGACATATTTGACTATTTATTAATCTCTCTTTCATATTCTAAAATTCATTTTCCCCTTATGGATATTTATGGTAGTTTGTTAAGAACTGTGATAAATTGTGCCAAGGAAACAGGGAAGACAGATGGATTTGTTTTAAATATTTATGTGAGCTAGTAAATGTGGTTGAAAAAATATTTCTTGGTTGTTGCTTTCTTTCTGTAGTCAGTGTTCATTGGGGTGAAACTAACTACCGAACTGCCCTACGGGAAACTGGAGGAAGATACATTCTTCCAGGTCCTCTTGAGTTAATGATTCTTTTTTGTTGTTAGGCTTATGTAATATGCAGTGGTCAAAAAGAGATGGGAAATTCTTCCTCCTGTAAGGAGGAAAATAAATATAAAAACGGAGATGGGAAAGTCTTACTGTCCCACTAATTTTGGATTTTTAATTACTAGATTTTTTCTAAACTGAAAGCCAACTCTCATGGAAAGAACTGCTGTTAAAGTGCTGTGTGAAGAGCGGAGGCACCTCATTAAAAGATCTGTACATTTTATAACTCTTGCTGGTTGAATAAATAATAGTTATTGTAGCGCTAAAGACCTTATCTTTACAAATAATGAGAAAAATGGGGTCTTCGGGGGCTTTAATGCTACTTAATGTTTTCATGTTGATGCTGAGTCTGACCAGTGGACCCGTCAAAGTTCTAGCAGAAAGAGCGGATACTTGGGAAATATGTAGCACTCAGGTTGAGTCCTGTTTTTATCACTTAGTAGCTGTATGACTGTAAACAAAGCAGTTAATCATGTTTTCTTAATCTCCAAAAATAAAAAGATAATGCTAAATTAGGAGGATTAATGTAGACAACATGAAGAAAAAAGCCTAATACGTAGCTCTTGGCCATCAGTAAGGTTAGTTTCCTTTCTCTTCTCCAGGCAAATCATGATTTTGTTGTTTATAACAAAATGAGGATTGTAACAGGCCCCCATTTTTGCCTCTCAAGTTACTGAGTCAGGAGGCTTAACAGGCCAGGTGTGTGAACACGGCACACCTCATTTTACTGCATCTTCAACACATTGAAGGTTTGTGGCAACCCTGCTTCGAGCGAGTCTGTTGGCACCGTTTTTCCATCAGCTTGTGCTTGCTTCATGTCTCTGTGTCACATTTTGGTAATTCTCACATTATTTTGAATTTTTTTCATTACTGTATCTGTTACAGTGATCTGTGTCCCGTGACCTTTTTTACTATTATTTTTGGGGTGCCACAAACCATGCCCATATAAGACTTCAGACTTAATAAATGTTGTGTGTGTTCTGACTGCTCCACTGACCAGCTGTTCCCCGTTTCTTCCCTTTTCCTCAGGCTTCCCTCTTCCTCGAGACACAAGAGTATTCAAATTAGGCCACTTAGTAAACTTATAGTAGCCCCTAAGTGCTCAGGTGAAAGGAAGAGTTGCACGTCTCTCTCTCTAGAAATGATTAAGCTTCTTGAGGAATGCATGTCAAAACCAAAACAGGCTGAAAGCTAGGCCTCTTGGACCAAACAGCCAACTTGGGAGTGCAAAGGAAAAGTTTTAAGGAAATTGAAAGTGCTAGCTGGGTGAGGTGGCTCATGCCTATAATCCCAGCACTTTGAGATGCAGAGGTGAACGGAATAAATAAAAATGTATTTCTTAATAAGAAATACATTTTGTAGGCCAGGTGTGGTGGCTCACACCTGTAATCCCAGCACTTTGGGAGGCCGAGGCAGGCAGATCACGACATCAGGAGATTGAGGCCACCCTGGCTAACACGGTGAAACCCTGTCTCTACTAAAAGTACAAAAAATTAGCCGGGCGTGGCGGGCTACTCGGGAGACTGAGGCGGGAGAATGGCATGAACCCAGGAGGCGGTGCTTGCAGTGAGCCGAGATTGAGCCACTGCACTCCAGCCTGGGCGACAGAGCGAGACTCCATCTCAAAAAGAAAAAAAAAAATGCATTTTTGTAAGGCTATAGCCACCATTATAGCTGCCATAGATAGTGATTCCTCTGATGGAGAGGGCAAAGCAAATTGAAAACTTTCTGGAAAGGATTCAGCATTCTAGATGCCATTAGGAACATTTGTGAGATTCACGGGAAGAAGTCAAAATATAACAACAGCAGTTTGGAAGAAGTTGGTTTCAACTCTAAAGGATGACAGGGGGTTCAAGACTTCAGTGGAGGAAACAACTACGGATGTGGTGGAAATAACAAGACAACTAGAATTAGAAGTAGAGCCTGAAGATGGTACTGAATTGCCACAGTCTCTTGGTAAAACTTGAGCACATGAGGAGTTACTTTTTTTTTTTTTTTGAGACAAGAGTCTTGCTCTGTTGCCCAGGCTGGAGTGTAGTGGTGCAATCTCGGCTCACTGCAAGCTCTGCCTCCCGGGTTCACGCCATTCTCCTGCCTCAGCCTCCCCAGTAGCTGGGACTACAGGCCCCTGGCACCATGCCCAGCTAATTATTTTTGTATTTTTAGTAGAGACGGGGTTTCACTGCATTAGCCAGGATGGTCTCAATCTGACGTTGTGATCCGCCGGCCTCGGCCTCCCAAAGTGCTGGGATTACAGGCGTGAGCCACCGTGCCCGGCAAGGAGTTGCTTTTTATGGGTAAGTACAGAAAATGGTTTCTTGAGGTGGACTTTATTCCTAGTGATGATGCTGTGAACAGTAGAGATGAGAACAAATGATTTATTCTATTACATAGGCTTAGTTGACAAAGCAGCTGCAGGGTTTGAGAGAACTAACTTCAATTTTGAAAGAAGTTGTACTTTGGTTGAAATGCCATCAAATAGCATTGCATGCAACAGAGAAATGTTTTTTGAAAGGAGAGTCGATTAATGTGGTAAACTTTATAGTTGTCTTAAGAGATTGACACAGCCACCCCAACCTCCAGCAACCACCACCCTGATCAATGAGGAGCCATTGACATGGAGGCAAAACCCTCCACCAGCAAGAAGATTGAATTCCTAAAGGCCCAGGTGATCATTAATGCTGTTTTTAGCAACAAAATATTTTTTAGTTAAGGTGTATACATTGTGGTTTAGACATGATACTGTGGCACACCGAATACACTCCAGTATAGTATATACGTAACTTTTCTATGGACTAGGGAGCTGAAAAAGTTGTGCAACTCACTTTGTTGTCATACTCACTTTATTGTGGTGCTCTAGAAAGGAACCCACAGTCTTTCACATCTTCCTGTATAACAGATCAAGACAGTTTTTACATGATGTATTTCACAATTCGTTGCCCTCAGAGTATTTTTAGTTTTATGACATGATCTTTAAATTAAAAACTGTAAATTTGTATTTGTATGTTCGGAGACTACAGGGTTCACATTAATTGCGGGAGTTGTTATGTGTCTTACAGGGGCAGGCCAAGTCTGTGTACTTTTCGCGCTAACCACTGGGGCTGCTATAAGCACGCCACATTATGGTTCACTGCTGCAAATTTCGCCTAGCCCCAACACTTCTGTCTTCTCCTCCCAGTCAGCAGGAGGATTGAAGCAGGACAGATAGAGGCAACAGGAAATAGGCCACCAAGCATTCTCATCCCAACTATTTCACTCTTTTCCTTCATTTTAGGTCAGCAGTGAGGAAAGGGCGGGAGGACAGAGAGGGAGACCACCTCTTTGTCAAGCGACCCCTCTTCCCACTTCTTCCTGTGTCTTAAATTCCTCTGAATCCCTCAGTCCACTAGGCAATTCTTTATTGTGCAAAACACTGATGGAACAGGTATTACTTGGTACCACCAAGTCCCAGGACTTCTCGCAACTAACTTAGATCTTGGAGGATGAAGGGATGGTCGAAAGATGAAGACCTGGCTTCTGCAGCCAAGGGTTAGATCATCTTCTCAGCATCCAGATCAAAACAATTCATTTCCTTGTAGAATTTCTACTGTGCTTCTTGGGTCATTTCTGTCGGGCACTTGCCTGAAATGCCCTTGTCTTCTCACCTGATGACCTCTTCAGTATTCTACTTTGTCAATGTCCTCATGGAAGGCAAGTCTGTCTCGCCCTTAGCCCCTGATTCTGGCACTGGCATCATTGTACTGTTTTTGATTATCTGTTTCTTCTGCCAGGCTTAGTAATTTCTTGAGAGCAGAGACTATATTTTCCTTGCTTATCCAGCCCTCAGAACAATCACTGGCACACCACAGTCAGTGCTCAATCTGTTAAAAGAATGTTCTGTTCTTTTAAGTTCCTTTTGAGCTGACTGAGAAAAGTATAAGTGTAAATTACATGTATATGTTACCGGTACAGCTGTATATTGCAGAAAGACCCAATAACATCAAGGTGGGTTGTTTTTCTCTCATGTAAAAGAAGTTAGGAAATAGTCCACCTTTGGTGTGAGCATCCAGCTCCAGTCTCTGCTGCTCCATGCTGAACGAGTGGTTTCCATTCTAAAGTTCAATGTGTGGTCCAGTATTAATGTCAGAGCTCCAGACATCAAATCTGATTAAGACCCAAAGAAAGAGCAAGACGGGGACAGCAAAAGGCTTCTCTCCCAGCCTTCTCAATTCCCCTGGACGGCCTTTCCTGGAAGCCCTATTCAGCTGTATTGATTTACAATTTTGGCCACTCCAGCTGGGAGGAGGCCAGATGTGTAGTCGGAGGGCACCCAGAATAAAGCTCTGCTCTGTCAATGAGAAAAGAAGGAAAAGGGATACTACATGGGCAACCAGCTACCTCTGTCACAGTGAGTAACGCTTAAATGGGAAAATGCCTTCTGAGTGCCAAATGATCAATTGTGTAAGATCTTTTGTTAATAAATTGCTGACATCACATGGATCATCAGTTTGCAAAGAATTGGGATATAATACAATTTCCACTGACCACATTGCACTGACAGTTTAATTTTCATGATTCAGAGCTAATTTTAGGATTCTGTAGTATGCAGAGTTATGAAGATCTGTTAATGCTTTTTAAAATATCTGTTAAAACTTTTAATAACGACAATAATAGCTAGCATTTATTGAGCATTCAGTGAATATCAGGCACTATTCTAAGTGCTTTAAGTGAATTCACTCCTTTTTTGTCCCCTTTTGCCGATAAGGAAGCTGAGGCACACAGAGGTGGGGAACTAACCCAACATCATCCAACCAATAGTCAAGGGACTGAGATTCAGACACAAACGTCTGCTCAAACTTCACCGTAAACTGCTTTACAGGGGGTG